GTGTGTGTGTGTGTGTGTGTGTGTGTGTGTGTGTGTGTGTGTGTGTGTGTGTGTGTGTGATAAGTGAAGCTTCATGAATGACTGTCATACAGGGAGAGTCTAAATGAGACGTATGTGTTTGTTTTCGAGAGGGTGTGTGTAACGTATATCAGTAATGTGTGCTATAATGACTGGTGTGAGTCAGGACGTATAGAGCTGAGTGTTGTTAATCAGAAATGAGGAAACTGTGGCATTTAAAGGCCAGTGATGGCACTGAGTCTGACTCACAGCGTAAGAAACCAAGACTCATCACGCACATCCCAGAGAGACCTAGGGCGCTCCAATCGCCTGCCAAGTGGGCTTTATAGGGTGTTGGGCCATGATGAAAGAGATCATAGGACACGTGAACTCTCAAATAAGTCACATTTACTTCATATTAAACATCACAAGCGTAATTTATCCCAAATTTCAAAGAATACCATGGTATTACTAGTATTAGTTTGGTACCTTTTTTGGTGAATACAGCAAATTATTATTGAAATAAGCAAAAATATCATTAAGTTGCAATCCAATCATTAAGTTGCTTATTTACAACTTTTTTGTAAGAACATTATTTATTTTATTTTATTTTATTTTTTATACAGTCATTTGCCAAACTTTTTATTTTTAAGCTTTATATTTATATAAGTTTTATTTTATTTCAGCTTTATTTCAATTAATGACAACAAATTTAAATAATTATAGTTTTAGAGAACTATAACGACACTGAAAAGATAATGTATGTCAGCATACTGCAAATGCTTGAAAGTACATAATACACACATTGAGTAAAATAGTCAGGTATTATTTATACTTATTAATTATTGTATTTTATTTTGTTCAGTTAGTTGGCAAACAGTATTTTTCATTTTTACGTTTTTCATCCATTTTTTATTTTCTATTTTGTTTTATATTATATTCATACTACAAATGCTTGAAAATACATAGTACACACATGTTGAGTAAAATTGTTAAAGTATTATTTATTTATTCATGTTTATTTTAGCCAAAGCAACATATTAAGTCTGTTTTTTTATCTAATAGTTATCATTTTTATTTTATTTCAGTTAATCACAACAAATTGTGATAGTTTGAGTTAACAATAACAACACTGGAAAATGCATTCACATTACTGCAAATGCTTGAAAATACATAGTACACACATATATCGAGTAAAATAATCATACTTGTTTTTATTTTTATTTATTTTTATTTATTTCAAACTGGCCAGTTCTAAAAGGAAATGTATGTATGTGCCTTTCTTGCTTTTTCTTCCTAAACCAATAAATGTACTGTAACTCTCTCATTGTGTGGTAGGGAGCAGTGATATCGCCCTCTATAGATCACTCCATGTCTCTGCAGCCCGCGTCCATGTTGGGTCCTCTCACTCAGCAGATGAATCACCTCTCTCTGGGCAGCGCAGGAACGGTGAGCACAATCAACACTTGAGTGCTTACATATGTGTTGTTTTGTTTCTTCAAGATCGACAAAATAATTTCCAGCTGTTAAAATCTGTGTCTGTGAATGCAGACAGAATGCAACAGCGTTTGCATACTGCAGTATACACTGCATACTGCCTACTATTTTTTTAAATTGCAAAACAGTAGGCACTATATATCAAATTCAGGGCTCTGAACCGGTTCAAGGAACGAAAACCGGAAACGAACGAAATTTTGACAGGAACAGAACCAGAAACTAAATCAAATTTTATAGTTCCGAACAGAATCGAAAATTTGAAATGGCCATTAACCGGTTAATAACGTTATTTTATCGTTCCATTTAACAGTTGAAATTTTCTGTCAACCAATCATGAATTCAAGTAGCACGGCCTATGCGCTCAGCTGTGAACTCATCATAGGTAAGTTAGAGTTTATCCGAGGATAGTGTAAGATGGATTCAACAGATCACACGCACCTGCAGCGCTTCTGTCAACGGAGAAAACAGAATAAAACTATAGGCTTACATAAAAGGAATAGCTTATATTGCCCTATACACTAAATATATTTCACTTAAATCATTGACAGATTAACAAAACGAAAGAAGAAAATGTGTTGAGTTTCGGATCATTGTGCCGTGATCCAAAGTTCACAGAAAGGAAAATGAGAAGGCAGAAAGAAGTTTTATTTATTGTGCAAAAGCTTTACAGTTTTCTTTATTTTACAGTTTTATTTATTTTGCAAATATTGACGGTTTTGAATGATGTCTTGCTTCTCTATCTGTATAACCAACCAACCAGTGTTGGTATGACGATATCGCGCCGGCGCCTCACGCGCACACAGACACAACATATTTTGCAACGTTGCAGCCTGTTACTATTATTATTATTATTATTATTATAGGCAAAAAAATTTTTTAAAAATAACATAACTGGTATTTATTCTAGGCAAACCAGTTTCGGAACGATAATAATACAGAGGAACGCAGGAACAGAAACGTTAAAATATCGATTCTGCTCGTGCAACGTTGCAGCCTGTTATTATTATTATTATTATTATAGGCAAAAAAAATTTTTTTAAATAACATAACTGGTATTTATTCTAGGCAAACCAGTTTCGGAACGATAATATTTTTTTTTTTCGTTTTCAAGCCCTGAATACAAAAGATTTGTATGGTAAATTGCTGTCACATGACCTCATCACATTGCATATGAAATAAAAAGTTATTTTGCATTTTAATTAAACTTTACTAAATTCCTAACGTTTGGCAACCCAAATAATGAATCAAAATAGAATTATTAAAATATAAATGCAATATTACTTTTGTCATTACATTTTAAAAGGTCAAATGCATTGAGTCAAGTGAGTGCTTTGCATTATGAGACTTTTTCTATGCCGTGTATGCAGGGATAGTTTTCATTTGCATTTTTAATTAAACTTTCCTAATTTCCTAACATTTGGCAACTCAGTAAAATAATGAATAGAAATATAAAAGTATTGAAATTCAATTGTGATATTATTTGTCATTAAACCTAAAAAGGTCAAGTGCATTGAGTCAAGTGAGTGCATTGCATTATGGGATAGTTTTTTATGCAGTGTGCATTATTGTATACTGCACATTTTGGCAAAAGCATTAGGTCCGAATATGCATGCATACAAATTTGCATGCTGTGCACAGTGTGCATACTATATACTGCAGAACTAGTATGCTATTTATAGCAAGCTGCATGACTAAACTTGAAAGACACCTACTGGTGAATAATCAAGTTGCAATTAAAACATAAAATGGAAAAACATTTTCTGTGCATAATGAAAAATGTGAAGTTTTATGTTGGAAATTTTAGTGTAATCATATTTTTTTGTGTGTTACAAAAGACAGATCATTCTGCATATTCTGGACAAAGGCTGCAAAAATGTATATATTTAAACTCATGCACAAGTCAGCAGAAATGCACTAAAGCAAGCAAATATAAAACTGCTGACGGAATATGAGCACAAAACACAGCGTGTGCAGATTTGTAGCAGCATATGTTGGTGTGTTCATGTGAATCTCTCTCATCTCTCTCTGTGTAGTTTATGCCAGCCAATCCAGCTCTCCAGGGGCCGTATATCCCTCCATACACTCACATGCAGACCACCGCCGTCTCAGTAGAGGTGCGTTCATGACGAAAAACACTTTCCCAGACACAGATTTAACCTCGTCCTGTACTGAAGAACTTCCTGAATTCACAATCACCATAAATGGAGAAAAGTTCAGGAACAGACTGGGCTTGTGCAACTGTGCTGAAATGTTCTGGAGAGAATCGCACAAAACCTGTGTAGAACATCTCCAGGGAACTGGACTCTAAATCACTCTAAATCACTAAACTTCACTCTAAATCAAACAAAAGAAATAAAATAGAATACTTTGGAAGAAAATAAAGCGTGTTTTTAGGAACATTGTTTTTTGTTTTGTTTTTACACTGTGAGATTATTTTCATGCACTTTCTCCCTAAATCTTCATTACTGTGACGCATAATAATAATATAACAAGAATAGTAATAATAATAATAATATTTAAATTGAAGCACAGTATTTATACATTATGGTAGTAGTTTATGCATTGCCTAATATATAATATATTAAATATTAAAATAATAAAATAATCAATTTAATTTACAGTATAATAAATTAATAATAATAATAATAAATGTACAGTATTTTTACAGTAATACAGAAAATACTCAAATTGAGTCTAGTATTATATTATTTTTAGGACTGATGACATTGCTTTACACTGTGAGATTATTTTCATGACACTTATGCTAATTCTCCCTAAATCATCATTACTGTGATGCATAATAATAATGATAACAATAACAGTAAATTATAATTTAAATTGAACTATTAAAGTATTTATGCTTTGTAGTATTGTGGGTTTTGCCCTTTAATTTCTGTTAATTTCTGAAATAAAATATATAAAAAATATATTATAATGATAAAAAATAAATTACTGTATTATAATAATTTATTTTTACAGTAAACCAGATTATTTTTATGACAATTAAGCACTTTCTCCCCAAATCCTTATTCATCTGAGGCATTATAATAATAATAACAATAACAACAATTATTTAAATTGAAGTATTGCAAGTAAATTATTATATTATAATTTATTTATTTTTACAGTATGTTTTAAAGTAATACAGAAAAAAAACTGAATGTGAAATCTAATGTCATCTTATTTTAGGGTGAAATATGAATATGTTTTGTGACATTCATCCCTAATAACGCATGTAATCATTGAAAGATGTGAAGAAAACTACTTTCAGTCATTGATATTCTGACTTATATTACATTAGCACTGCAGATCTCTGTTTTGATTTGAACTTTCATGATTTGTGCTTGTTGTGTTGGTTTGGTGCATAAATGCGAGAAAATAAACTGCATGTTTTGCAGACTTTAGCTGATGCAGCACGGCGCGACACGACAACTGCGCAACATGACAAGTTGCCTGTTACATCCTACAGTAGGCTACATAAAATTTCACTTACCACATAAACAGAGTAAGGAGAGATGACTGAGAACGATGGCGAATTGCAGATCCTGAGCACCACTGACAAACATCTAATCTTGTAAAATGTGTGGTAAGTACTGCCGCTCCATAGTATAAAATAAACTGCATGTTTTGTTGTAGGAGAACAGTCCACAACCTCCGGTGGAATCGTCCAGTGATCATTCACCTTATACCTATCAGCAGGCCAAGTGATGAAGAGGTAAATAAATCACACCTGTCCACACATATACATCACGTACCTGCACATGTGTGTCATTCTACCTTAAGCTCTTGGGACCCAGGGGGACAAAAAAGTTTTGTTTTAAGTAGGGTTGGGCGATGTCTACAAAATTGGCATCGGACGATGTCTACAGTAAAACATCGCGATGGATGGACATCAGCGGGGGCAGCGAAAAGCAATCGTGCATTCAAAAGCACGATGCCAGGTATAATAGCGACTCCCTGATTCCGAAATATATATGTAGTATAATTACCCAATTATATAACTGCGAGGAAAAATATTGAAATATATATTTTCCTCCCATCTCGTATTTATTCCCTTTAGGGGTTCCGCCTACACGTCATTTTCTTTGCGAACACGGTATTGGGATGTGGGGGAATGGGGGGGGAATCACGATGCCGGCTCAACATCGTGATGTCTATCAGCCATCGGCGATGGACGATGGCATCGTCTATCGGCCCAACCCTAGTTTTAAGTTTATCCTGATTTAAAATCTACTGAGATTTTTCTAAGATTAATATTTACAGGAAACCATTTTAACATTAATACAAATTGAAATTGAGAAGGACTAGTGTTATTATAGTTAACTAAAAATAAAAAAATAAAAAATTGTTGCTTGAAATAAAACAAACGTTAACTAAAATAAAATATACAACATTTTTTACATTTCAGCTGTCAGCTGTTTTTACAAAAATCCCCCCCCATATATATCTCTCAATGATACTGATCAGGACTAAATAATAAACTTGCTGTTCCTCTTATCTTGAATTTTTGGAAATTGACAGCCATTTTTAAAAACTGAAGAGAAGACAAACCCGAATCTATCTGGTATGTGTGAAAAGCTCAGGATGTCCTGTTTAAGATGCACCAGGACTGTATGTATATTCTCAGAGACATTCACCAAACAAGTGTCCTCTACAGAAGATCAAAATGCCTTTCTGGGTTCGAGGAGGATGAAACCTTGTGCATGATTCTTATCTAAATGTTTAGAGGTCATTTCAAGTGTTGCTGCATTATTGGTTTACATCTGTTTGAAATGATTGGTCTGGAAGTGTAAACAGGTGCAACAGATGCGATATTGGTTTGAGTGCTTCTTGTGTCACCTGCAGTCCTGCTTTTCTGATCCTGGTCCGTGTGTTATGTCTGAATTAAAGGAATAGTTCACCAAAAAAAAGACAATTCTGTCATAATTTACTCGTTCCAGACTAGTGTTATTTTCTCTCTTCAGAGATTTTTTTTTCCGTACAATGATGATGGATTCTGATTCATGCTGTCGAGATCCAAAAAGCATCATAAAAATAGTCAATAGAACTTATTCGTTTAGGCTGAACTTTGAAATGAGTCACATGACATGGAGGAATCGGTGATCTCAGACCTGCTGTGATTCATTCAAAAGCATCATTTTTTAATTGAACATAATTGAAAACATTTATAAAGGCTGGTAGAGAGAAGAAAAATATTAGGGTGGAATGACAAGAGAGTGAGTAAATGATGAAAACCTGGAAAAAAAATAGAATATTACATTTGTAAAATATTAGATTTCCGTACCTGGAAAATGTTTTTGAATATACATAGTAATGCTCAGATCCAGTGTTATTTTAACAGTATCACTGAGATTCTGTTATAGTTTTTGTTGTTAATATTTTGAAATCGATTCATTTTTTTATTTTAGGCATTCATGGTAATTTTAATTAAAGTTTTAGTGATTGTGCTGGGTATTTTTGCCCTTTTTATAGTTTTTGTTGTTTTTAAATATGTCTCTATAGTTTCTATTAATTTTTAGTTCAGCCTTCGCTTTAGTTATTTTAGTACATCAAGTTAAACTTAATGAAATTGAGAAAATGCCTTTTATTCAGTATAAGATTCTTCTGCTCACAAAGGCTGCATTTATTTGATGAAAAATACTATAAAAACATTAATATTGTGAAATTTTCTAACAATTTAAAAGTACTGTTTTCTTTGTGAATATATTGTAAAATGAAATTTATTGCTGTGATGCAAAGCTGAATTTTCAGCATCATTACTCAGTCTTCAGTGTCACATGATCTTCAGAAATCATTCTAATATGCTGATTTGCTGCTCAAGAAACATTTCTGATTATTATCAATGTTGAAAACAGTTGTGCCGCTTCATATTTTTGTGGAAACCAGGATACATTTTATTTTTCAAGATTCTTTGATGAATAGAAAGTTCAAAAGAACAGCATTTATTTAAAATACAAATCTTTTTTAACATTATATATGTTTTATATATGCTTCCTTGCTGAATAAATGTTCAAATTTGGACACGCAATTGATTTAAAGCGTACTTGTTTCTATCGTAGGGTTGTCGGGGTTCGAGAGAGAAGGAGACGACTGCTAAATCAATAACAGCTTCCTTTGAAGGACCGGCGCTACCGATGAATCGACATTTTGCACAGGTTCTACGTTGAGATCCTCGGTTTTATAATAAAACTACTTCAACTATTTTGGTATAAGTTCCATTAGGTGCAAATCAAGGATTCATTTCATCAGAGGATGCTGACAAAGAAAACACAAATGAAATGGGAAGAAAAAGTTTTATTTTACTAAAGAAACAACGCTTATTTTTTACCAAGGATCGTCACATAGATGCAGGAACTTCATCATGGAGATTCTTCTTATTTTTATGATTTCGGATTTGTTTTCTCTCTCTCTCTCTTTTCTTTTGTACTGAAACAGATGTTCGTTTTTAGAGATTTATCAGCCGGACATCCTGAGAAAGATTGCGTTTGTGCTTGCGGTGTGAGTGTCGTTGATGTGTTTTTGTCGTGTGCTTCATCTTCGGTCTGACCGATCTGTCCGTCTTATACGATTTGCCTTAAACTCTTTCCCGTACAGTAGCCGAAGAAAAGAGGTCCGGCTTCTGCCTTGTAAATCAGCTGAATAGGGCTTTTTTAGCATCTCGCAAAGGAACATTTCCGCCACGCTTGGATTTCGGTGTTTTGCTTTTTCCGACCTTTTAGAGTACAAACCGTTTCGAGTGATAACGTTGATGGAGTTTTAATAGGATTTAATGTTTTTATAAGCAGAGGTGACGACGAGCCTTTGGTTGTTTGAATGTGGTAGAAATTCTGCTGAACGATCACATTTTTGATAATTGCCTTTTCGTTTATAAATCTCGGTGTTGTAGTTTAGCTTTAGATGAACTCGTGGGAGGGGGAGGAGCTTTGACTCGTATTCTAATGAGGGGGCGGGAGGGAGGCGTGGCCTGTCAGTCAACTTTCAGCAGCGGGCTTCTTCGGGAGAGGTGAACGTGTAGATTTTACATTTACATTTACATTTAGTCATTTAGCAGACGCTTTTATCCAAAGCGACTTACAATTGGGTGATACATAAAGCGATTCTTCTTAAGAGGCAAACAGACACAGGAAGTGGTTGTAATACCAAGTTCTTAGACATTGTTCAAATTTTAGTGCTCGTTTTACTATAGCAGGCAAACAAATCTCGGCACTTTCAAGTTTACTTCACCAAAGACAGTCGGCGAGCGGATCGCGCGGACGTGACGTCGTTTTCTCTCGAGGCGGGCCACGCTGAGACTTTATAACAGACTGGGTTGCAGTTGTGGAGAATGTGCCTTCTTTGTACATATGCATTCAGCTGTCTTTAGTTGGCGAGGTGCGGACACCGATTTGAAGGATGATTTGGATCCAGCAAGTGCCACAAACTAAACGAAGACATCACTACAGAGTGGAGACAACTGAAACTAAAACGCAGAACGAGGACAGGTTGAAACGACGGCTCCGTTCCGAAACCCTAGTGAGCTGCCTACATAGGCTGCTGCCTTCTAAAGGAGCATCATAATTCATTAATGCATCATACAAATAGACTTTTGCATTGGCACGCTTGCAGTTAAATTACAGTACAAAGCACAGAAAAATATTCGTTTTTAATTAGAATCAACTATTTTGCTGCTTTTCTGTGTTTAATAAATTCTTAGAGTTTTCGGATGGATTTTTCACTCGAAATGCATTATGAATTTGCCTTCTCAGTGAAGGATACGTGTGATGCTGCCTTAGAATTTGGCAAAAGTAGTGCACTTACTGTCTATGCACCGTATTTTGCGGAAAGTCGCACCGGGTCAAAATTGCATTGTTAAGAGAAAAAAAACACAGATAAGCCACAGTTTTATTGTTACATTCTGAAATAATGTAAAATACAGGTGCATTATGTAATTGCATTATATATGTGACCCTGGAGCACAAAACCAAAAATAAGGTTGTTGTTTTTTTTATTGAGATTTATATATCATCTGAAAGCTGAATAAATAAGCTTTCCATTGATGTATGGTTTGTTAGGATAGGACATATACCGATATACAACTATTTGAAAATCTGGAATCTGAGGGAGCAAAAAAAATCGAAATATTGAGAAAATCATCTTTAAAGTTGTCCAAATTAAGTCCTTAGCAATGCATAATACTAATCCAAAATTAAGTTTTTATATATTTACGGTAGGAAATTTACAAAATATCTTCATGGAACACGATCTTTACTTAATATCCTAATGATTTTTGGCATAAAAGAGAAATCGATCATTTTGCCCCATGCAATGTATTTTTGGCTATTGCTACAAATATACCCCAGCGACTTAAGACTGCTTTTTGTGCTGCAGGGTCACATATAAGTTGTTTAGGTATATATAAGTCACAGTGGGTCAAAATTGCATTGTTGAGAGAAAAAAGACACAGATAAGTCACAATTGTATTATTATTACATTCAGAAATCATGTAAAATACAGATCAAATGAAATGCTTACAAACATTATAAACACTATAATAAACATGTATTTTAGTTCCCCTCACTCCACAACAAATCCTTTAAATTTAACGCTATTCAGATGAGGAATAAAAAAATCGAAGTATAAAACATAAGTTATAGCTGCATTCATTATAAACATCAAACATGAAGCTCCAACCAACAGGTTTTGCATGCTTGACATTGATTTAATCATCAAGATGAAATATATATATATATGCAACATGCTTTAGGTAATAAAAAATTTGATGTTCTGGAAAATACAGATAGCAGCTCGCTAGGTTTTAGGAAACGGCCTTTGAAATAATAATTGCATCCATTACAGGAAAATGTTTTTATTTTATTTTAATCTCACAATATAGTTTATTAAGGCTTTATTCATTAATTTGTCTTCCAACAGACTGTGTTTTTGACCTGGTGGGTCTTGTTGACCGGTTATCTACCTCAGAGTTTTGTCGTCCTCTGTTTTGATTGGTCGGGCAGCAGGTTCAGCCCGCCCCTCCAGACCAAACGGCCAGCTCTGGAGCTGCCCACATACACTTGATTTCTTTCAGGTTTTTTGTTTTTAAATACTTTAATCCTCTTCTTAGTTATATGAAAAGTAATAATTTATGAAGAGAGACGTTTTGTACGACTGTTTGAAAAAATAAAAACAATAAAAAGGTTTTCATAGAGATGTCTATATGAGAGTTGATTTAGTAATTTCTTTCTCTCTGTTTTACATGTGCCACGCACTTGCCCGTGGTATCTTGTATGTTCGGTTTATCAGAAACCTTCCTCTGTATTTGTTTCTTTTATTTTCTGAGTGTTTAAGCCAAAAGCCCTTGTTTCCAGTAAGATTGTTAATTAAGCTTTATTTCTGTTCATTTCTTTGAGAACTTTTGAATAAAAACACATTTTTGTTTTATTCATGCCGTGTCTTTCGTTCACAGCTAATGCAGACCAAACGTCTGAGAACATTCCTTTCTGATTTAGTACATTCCTTTGCATTAGAAATGATATTATTAGCATAACTATTTGACTGAAAAAGAAATGCGTCAGAATATCTATATAATATGGACATTATGCACAAATATTATGGACAGCGTGGAGATTAATAAAATAGTGAATATTTTTCTAGTTGTCTTTAGCTTGAAATACAATTTATTTGGCTAGATCGATTTATGCATGCATAATTAAGTTGTCCAGAAGCATACAAACATCTATATTAGTTTCTTTCTGATATACAATAATATGTCACACATGAAGCGCTGAACCTGCAGCGTGAAAGAACAGATTTACTGGTAGGATGATTGTATTCAGTCAGAAACAGATTTTTTGCATTGGTTTTTCTCAGCAGTTCATGTTCAGTTCTGAGAACAGAACGAGTCTTCACTTCTCTCTCAGTCAGTAATCGAGTGCGGCTGGGATTTCCACAGCTTTATTTTGTTTCAGAGTGTAAGAATCTATAGTCTGCCCCGACCCAGATTCCACTCCACAATATACTGTATGTTTGATCATGCTCATTTCCCAAAATGGCTTAATTATTACAGAGAAAAAGAAAGTCAAGTTATGTTGTTTCTGGACCATTTGGGATGATCATATCCTGAGCAAATGGTGACCAATTGTAGAATGGGAGCAGGTGTGGGACACTGAGAACCACCTCAGACATAGTGTCAGAACTTAATTAACATACAGACTACAGCTGTTACAACAGGAGCAACTTCATTTACATTAAGGGTAGTAAACTGTAACTGTATAAAAGATCTGAGTTTAGGATATTTTGGGTTCATTCCGACTCCCAAGGTACTACATGTACTTTGTCACTGCTATGCTGCAATAAACATCTTCATCGAGATCTTCATCGTCCTCATCACTTTTTCTTACAAGAGTTATTAAAAAATGAAATACTATGATTTCTGCTTTAGCCTATACAGCGCAGCAGACGGGTTTCAGAGATAAAAGGGCCATTCATTTCTTCCATGCAGAAATACATTTTTGACAATAACATACTGCGCAAACCTTTTCTTGGAACATTATTATATTGAGCTAAACTGGAATTATGCTCTCTATAGGATCAACAAAAGGTGATATAAGAGATTATTTGGGCAATACAAACTAAATCGATAATGCTACAGAACAAGTTAACCCCATTTATTGGAATTGATTGAATACAGAATAAGAAGTTCAGTCAACTCATTTCTGGATGAAGTGAGTTGAAGCTGTCTGCTGTTTGCCTGGTGACCAGCAGTAGCTCATCTCGACCAGCAGGTGTCAGTGTTTCAGCAAGAGTCTCACAGCATCATTTGTTTTCAGTGTCAGAATTCCCAAGTGCGTTAGACTACAGTACATTTACTACAGGTTTACCTGGAGCAACCTGGGGTTCATTTCTTCATTTTCGTAAGAAAATAAGTAATAGAAGCAGCTATTTTTAGTTCAGATCAATTAAAGCACCTGTAACACTTTACATGAAGTCTTTTTATATAATGCATTCTAAAAGTAGTTTTAATATCGTAATTATGCACCTTAAAATGCATTGTATGATCTCATGAATAATTGTAACCACAGTTATAATATATTATGATACCATAATCTATTTATTGTTACACCTTTAGAAAGTATAATGCATAAAAACACATGACAAACAAACCTTCAAATATTATAATGCATTTTAACTCTGGTTATAAGTATATATGAAAAGATATAATGCATTGCACTGTACATTATCAGTACCTTTATAATGCATTAAGTGTTCCAGCTGTATGAGTGTCAGTCATGCAGGTGTTTCTGTGGAACAGCTGAATTTGTGCAGAGTCCACAGACATATCAGATGGTTATGTGTGTGTGTGTCTGTGTCTGTGGCTGTGTGTGTGTGTGTGTGTGTGTGTGTGTGTGTGTGTGTGTGTGTGTGTGTGTGTGCGCGCGCGCACGCAGGAGAAA